TTATATCTCATAAACGAAGACAGATAGGACATATATTTATATGACTTTTTTTTCATTATTTTTAGACGTACAATCAGCTCCCTTGGGTTTCACAAGTTACGAGACGCCCTGTATATATATCGGTTCGGTAATATTTTACGACGCGGCTTGTCGCAGTCCCGCCTCGATTCTCTCTCGATAAGCGTCGCTATTGAAATTGCGAACGTGTCGAATAGGGTCAAACTCTGTCGTTTTATACGAGAGGAAGAGGGTAACAAGGAGAGAAGGGAAGGGAAAATTCAATTAGAACGATCGGGAGAAAAAAGGAAAGAAAAAAAAGAAAAAGAAAAAAAGAAAGTTCCATCGACTGTCGAAGGCGATCGGAGTTATTATTGTATTAATTAAGGGACGAAGAGAGAGAAAGAGAGAGAGAGAGAGAGATAGAAGTAGTTAGGGAATGGAAGTGGAAGAAACTCTCGGCGCGTCGAAAAGTTCTCGCTCGTCTTACACGCTCGTAGGATTCAATCGATTTCACGCTGAACTCTCTGAGAATATTTCCACGCCTCGTCCGCCCCGGGGAGAACTTTCGGTAACAAGCAGAGCTCCGTATCGCGACTGCGTTCAATCAACCGAAGAGTAAACGCCGCTTCTTTCTCCCGAGTTTCGAATAATAAAAATGACTACGACTCTCTCTCTCTCTCTCTCTCTCTTTCTCTCGCCACCTCGGCATCTTGGAAATTATAACAACGCTCGACACCGGGTTCTTTGCAGTGAAATTACAGTTTCATTCGTGCTTGACGCAATTTCTCGCCAAGTTTAAAAAGAGTTGCAAAATATTTCCTTCTTTCTTTCTCCTTTTTTTTTTTTTTTTTTCTTCTTCGAAGATTCTACAACAGCGTGGATGAAAGACGAGGAAATAGAGAAACGCGATCGTTCGTGTCGCGCGGATTCTGGGCCGTGCTTCGGAAACAAACAGCTCGAAATACATTCGAACGCGTGGCTCGAAATTTCTGAATGATCGAGGGTGAAAAAACTCCAGAATCAGGAAGCGCTTTCGAACGATTTTACGCGATCGTAATAAAACTTTTACACACAAATAATCGCAGGGAATTCTATTGCCGTTTATTTACGTACGATCAAACGACAAAGGTGAAGCATTATTCGTCGATAAAGCGAGAAAAAAATAGATCGTAAAAGAGGAGATCAAAGAGTTCGGAGATTCGACGCAAGTGTCAATTTTCGTCGATTAATAAACTTTTTTCGACAAACACACATAGCACGTGTAGTAAGAAGGTAAAACTCCATTTGCAAACCAGAATATTTTCCAAGGGTCGAAATTAACAGGTTCATTTCGTTCTTGAGGGAAAAAGTCTGCTCGAAACTTTTATGTGTTTGTCGCGCGAAAGCAAAAAATATTTGTTTTGTGGGGGAATTTTTATGGAAAGAAGTGTTAGAAGTGGGAACGCTTTTGAATAGCTTCTCTCGTGGAACGGATATTTGAAAAAAATCCCGCGTAATAAAAGTTCCATGGAAACAAGTTATCTCGGAACATTCAATTAAAAATCCATTTATTTACACTCGAGTGCTGTTCATTGAATAGTATTCGGTGTTTGCTACAAATAACTTTTATATTTAAATGTTATGTAACTTTTTATAATATTTAAAAACTTCCTTCCATATATCGAAATTATCCGTTTCTGTTTTCACATTCGACACGTTCTATTCTGTCTGAAATTTCTCTATTTCCCGTAAGAATTTATTTTCTTTTCATCTGTTCTCACTGGCACTTGCGAGAACAATTTCGAGACATTTTTACCATCCGTGTTTCAAGTAGAGCCTATTTAAAAGTTTCTTGACTCCTTCGATCCCCGTGAATCCTACTTCTCCGTTAAATTTCTTTTTTTTTTCTACTCGCGTTTATGTAAAAACGACACTTTTCATGGGCATTTCGATTTTTTTCAAGTCTGTTTCAGCCTGACCCTGCCTCTCCGTTTTATCGGCGTAAAATAAAAGCGTCTGACGCTTATAGAAAACCCCGTATCTCAACTCTCTCTTCTGCGTTTCTTGTCTTTTCAGCGTCATTTCGTGACGCCAGCAACCGTTAAACAACCATGGAAACTTATTTATAAAGGTGTAATCACTCGTAATTTCCTCGACAACCAAACGTATCGCGTCGTAACGAGCTTTCAGCGGCTCTCGGGCCCGATATTTCACCAGATAATAAGGAACAAACAGCGTTTCCTTGTTCCGGGCGACGCGGCCCGCGTTATTATACGACGGTAGCGGAGATCCGGTGGCAACGATGGCGGAAATTCGTTCGGCCAAAGGCCACACGGTCTCGCCCAATAAACCGTAAATGGATTAGCCTCTAAGCCGCTGATACGACTACGGAAATCCAAAGTGGCGCGCGGGCAGAAGATTCCGTACAATCTCGGGCGAATCCACTGTCAACGGACACTCTCAGAAGCCATTACATACGTCTTCCTTAGCCGCCCGACTGGAAACGAATTTCTCCCGTTTACGACCACCTATACAACGCCATTCCCCTTTAAATTTTCTGTCATCTTTCGCTCCATTTTTCTTTTTCTTTTTTTTTTCAGTTCTTCATTTAAATATCTTTGGGATAGTTTTTTTTTTTTTTTTTTTTTCTTTTCTTAGTAAGACTGATGACTCTCTGTATTTAGCAGACAGATGTTTCTAACGTAATGCAAGGTGAGAGAAATTAAATCAAGTTTCGTTTTATTTTATATTTTTGAGATAACTTTTCTTTTTCTCAGTTTGTTTTTATATTGATTACTAATTTTTGTATATTATATTACTCTTTGTATTTAGCAGATAGATATTTTTAACGTAACGTAAGGTAAGAGAAATTAGAGCAAGTTTCGTTTTATTTTATATTTTTGAGATAATTTTTTTTTTCTTAGTTTGTTTTTATATTGATTACTAATTTTTGTATATTATATTACTCTTTGTATTTAGCAGACAGATATTTTTAACGTAACGTGAGATGAAAGAAATTAGAGCAAGTTTCGTTTTATTTTATATTTTTGAGATAATTTTTTTTTTCTTAGTTTGTTTTTATATTGATTACTAATTTTTGTATATTATATTACTCATTGTATTTAGCAGACAGATATTTTTAACGTAACGTAAGGTGAGAGAAATTAGAGCAAGTTTCGATTTATTTTATATTTTGGAGATAATTTTTTCTTTCGTTAGTTTTTTTTTTTCATAAATTGTATTCTTTGTTAGATAATTTTTTTTTTTCCTCTGACAGATACGTTTTATAATGTAAAGCATAGTTGGCTAACTGGCGGACCCTTGCCCCTACTTTCCTGGTTGCTAGCGTTATCCCCTCCACTGCATCGATCTCTCCACTACAGTTTGCCGGCTCTGATTGTAAACTGAAAGAGACCAGAGCAAATCAATGCAAGTTTCGTTTCATTTTTTTTTTCCATTTTGATATTTTTAAAGTAATTTTTCTCTTTTTTTTAGTACGACAAACGACCTTTTCTTTAACAGATAGACTCTTTCACAGTGTAAGATCAAAAACACTAGAGCAGATCAATGTAAATCAATCTTCATCAGGAGAGTTTGAAAATATCTTTACGCGAAAGTTATTTCTTCTATTCAGATTATTTCTGGCTCGGTGTTTTAGCAAGTGATTTTACAGCTCGAAACCGGAACAGCGCGAGCTACGCGTTGGTGAATTATTGTCCATTTATTTTCGGAGTTGTAAAGAATTAAAGAATGGACACAAAGGATCCAGATGAATGAAAGAAAAAAAAGAAAAAAATTGTAATACAAATTGTTATACAAACGACCGATCTTTCTGTGTTAATCTCTCCTTTAAAAAAGACTACCAAAGTTGACGTAATCAACGTTCACGTACACATTTTCTCCTCGACTTTGTATTACATAATTATTACGCAAATGTCCAATTACGTTACCGCTGTATTATCGCATTCCTCGTAAGCCGCGAAGTCGTGACTATCGTCGGTCGACGTATCAAAAAGTTGTTCCCGGGGAAACAAAAGTTGTTCGCGTATCGGCGATACTCTTCTCGAAAGAGTTAAAAAAGGTCCGTCAGTATCGAAACTCGAGCTTGCAGTCGGTCAATCGGCGACACAGTGTGCAAAAAGAAACTACTAAATAAATCGTGTATATTCCATTATTATCCCCCATAAGAAGCAGCAACAGCCAATTACGTAACGAGCGACTCGCCCTACATACTTGCGTTCGCTTAATTTTACCCTGTCGGTTAAACCAAAACCTCCGGAGTTACGTCCGAGAGCGTGCGCCACGATAAATCACACGGTTGTCTGAGGAGCGGTCTACGTAACGATCGAGAAAGAGGCGGCGGTGGAACGCGGAGAAAGAGAGCAAAGGCAGACGGTGCAAGAACCGCAGAATTTGGTAATCGTCGACGGGGGGAGCAGGATCCAACATCTTCTCCTCGAACGAGGGGGAAGGGAATTAGTCGGGCAACGTTTCAGCTTGCCGCCGCGGCTGGGGAGAATAATTTTTTCCCCTCGGGAATCCCTTGTGCGCGCGCGGAGCTTGTGACACGCGAGTGCGTAAGGGTCTTTCATTACGACTTCGTTACGATGTCTCCGAACCGACGAGGAGGGGTGGAAGAAAACGGGTGAGATTTCTCCGGCGAACCGAGAAAATGGGGACGACGCCACGGAATGGTGGACAGAGGGACATAGGGGATGGGATCACCCCGCGCTGGTAGACGTCGAAAGAGAAAAGCAAAACGACGTCGTCTGTTGGAAACAGCTGCTTCTCTGCTATATATATATATACACAATGGACATACAAGCATATAAATATATACACACACACACATATATAAATAATTTTTTATATATAATATATAAATATAAATAATATATATAATATATAAATAATAATTTATATCTATATATAAATAAGTTAATAATATATATATTTATATATAAATAATTTAATATATATTATTATTATTAATATAATTATAAATATTATATATTATTAATATAAATATATATATATATATATTATTATTAACTTATTTATATATAGGTATACATTATTATTCATATGTTGTATATTATATAAAATATTTTATATTTATATATATGAAATATATATATATATATATATATATATTTGTGTGCTGTCGTTCGTTCACCGACGGAAGGAGCAGCAACAAGAAAGGACAGAAAGAGAAAGAGAGAAAGAGAGAGAGAGAGATAAAACGAAATAATCGTAATGTCCACGGAGAAAAGGGAAAAGAAAGTACGTGTGTAAGAAAATTATGAAGCAAAGAGCTACGCAAGAATAAAGGAGCGACTGCGAGAGACGTGGACAGAGTGGATGGTAAAGGGTGAAGAGAGATGGGTGGAGAGCGTGGGTGTGGTGGTGCAGGGTGCAGAAGAACTCGTCTATATACAGAGGGAACCCCCGCTGCTTGCCAGAGAGTACCGATCGATCGTACCGCGTTCTCTCTCTCTCTCTCTCTCTCTGTTTCTCCCTCTTCCTATCTTGCAGTCAGTTCCCACTCTTTCAACCACACCTCTCTCTCTCTCTCTCTCTCTCTCTCTCTCTCTCTGTCTGTCTCCAATACACACCCTAGTTCGACCTTCTCCCTCTATAGTTCTCTGTCTGGCCCTGTTTCACGGGCAGAGGCCAGGCAGAGACCACCTTCCTGCTCCCGTCTGGCTTCGCGCGCTCCTGTTTCTCCTAAGATTCCCGCGGAGAACAGGGAATAGGGAAAAACCAGGAGAAAGTTGCCGTGCACGCGGCATAGAAGAATGTACACACGCTGGATATATCGGACTGCAGGCTATTATTCGAAACTTTAGGCTCGTCGATCGTTTCACGTTGTGTATGTACCTTTACCTGACTATAGAGGGTGTCCCATTTTAACCTATGAGTGTGATTATCTCTGCTAAAACTATTCGTCGTTTAAAAAATGTCTCGAATACATTTTTTTTTTTTTTGGTTTTGTTTTGAGAAGGCGGTAATTTGGTAAACACTTACAATTAGTTTGTTTCTAGGTGAACATGTGTAGGAGATACGAAGGTCGCTACTATTTTTTCAAGCATAATTGCGTAATCTCTTTTTGCAACGATCGATGCAACGTTACGAGATATTTCTTATAAAATCTATTCATAAAAGACAAGCACAGTATGAATACTATTTTTTCTTGTCTTTCGTATGATAGACTTTTCGTACGATATAGGTTAGGTTAGGCTAAGTTAATTTATACTTGGTTTGTCTCTAGGTTAATACTTTCTTTCACTGTATCAACTGACGTAAAAAAAAAAAAAAAAAATTACATAATCACACTTGAAAAAAAAAAGTAGCAATGAATTTCTCCTACACACTTCATATCTAGAGACAGACTAATTGCAAGTACCAAATTACTGTCCTCTCAAAACAGAAAGAGGAGAATGTATTTGAGATACGTTTTTCACACGACGAATAGTTCCGGAGATGATTGAATTTATAGAGTGAAATAAAACACCCGTAACTGTTCCCAACTATCCTCGAAAAGCGATCGGTTTTGGAAAATTTGGATTCTTAGATGCTTCAGTCATTAGCGTGTTGGCGATTGTCGCCGAGAGTAATAAATTTCAACGACACTTTAATGATTAAAACTCGAATGAATATGCAGCGAGAAATCCCGAACGTAGTTGAATATTAAACAGATTTTGCGTTCCGCTTCGTCGTATGAAAATGTAATTGAATATCGCTCGTAAGGCGTGTAGATTTTCATTGTGAAATATCTGTAGCGCAGTTTACAACGCCCGGTGTAAAAATCGGCGACTGAAATAAACGAGGCAGAGGGGGAGGGATTTCGTGTCTATACCGGTATATGTCAAAGTGGTATCCGTTAACCTTTCGCAGTATGAAAAAAAGATTCTTTCGCTTTTAACCAACACTGTGAATCACACCGTCGAAATATACTCGCTGTAATTATCGCAGCGTGCAGATCGATACACGTACGTGTAATTGTTGAGAAATCTTTGTAGAACGTTACCCGCAGAAGGAAGGAATCGAGCCCGACCGAGCCGTACAGCTCTCTCTTACCTGCGAACAAAATAAAAACTATAATTAGAGAGAGCGATAGAGGTGCAAGTTATTTGAAAAAAAAAAGGCTCTAAAAGTGTTCGTCACAGTTATTTTCGATCAAATATACCACGAACCAGAAAGGAGAAGCGAAACGTTGCTCGATATAAAATATTCCTTCAATGAAAAAGAAACGATAAAAAAAAAAAAAAAAAGAAAAAAATTTCGTGCTCCGATGCGGTGGAAAATGGCGGATTTGCCCGAAACGGTCGGTAATATATTAGAGGAAAAATGAGGGACGACATGGTAACCGTGGCAAACTTTCGGACGTGGCAGAGAAAGAGAGAATGTATACCACGAGTTTCGTGTTTTCGGAACTTGCTGGCTGCGGGCATTCCGCTTGTTACGCCGGGATTAGAAACGGAACTTGATGTTTTCCCGGTGACTGGATATCCTCGCGTGGGATCTATCTTCTCTCTTTCTTGTCTCGCTCGTTTTTCCTGGCTTTCCCACCCACCCACACACATTCGTCTCGCCGAGCAAACTCGACGTCGTGCAAACGACATTCAGCCAACGCTGGAATGTTCGTTACCGCCGGAAAATACATATTACTGATTATCTTGAGAAACATTTGCCAAGATAATTTGCACGGTCGGTGCTCGTTGGGATCCAATCAAAATATTTGCAAAGCTCCGGCCGACGAAACATGAAATCGAAAAAAAAAAAAAAAGAAAGAAATCGTATCGATGGAGTGACTTCCAACCGCTTTGAACTCGGTCATCGCATTCGTCGAGTCGAATGAACTTTGGAAGAGGACAAGTTTTTAACCCCTTGAGCGTTTTGTTTTATTTTGAGAACGTGCACTGGCGTGTTTAATTATTTCTAGGCGACGACGAGTAGAACACGATAGATGCACTTGCTGTAAGACTGAGTTAAATTATAACAAAACGATAAATTTTCACGGCGTCTATTTGAAAAGTTTTTAATTTCACTGGCACTCGCAGGACTTAACGTTTCACTTCTTTGAAAAATTATTCAAAGTTCGAAATGTGGAGAAAAGTTGGAGAAACTTGAATTTTCATCAATTCGTAAAAAGAAGTAAAAGGTCAATTATATTTGCAAAATTAAAATGGTTAGACGTAAATTTAATTTATCATATTTTCTTTCAATTTTAATTTAGCATATTTGAAATATTCTAGAATGTGCTGAAATTACAAATATATATAATTTCTTTTACCCAAATTTTACAATAAATAGCAGAAGCGAATTTTCTTTTCTACATAACAAGTATACTCGACATTAAACAAAAAAAATTTCATTTTTTTTATGACGAGATATACTCGGCATATGTGTTTAAAGGGTTAGGATTGCCGGTCGTGAGCATAAACTCGCGAACAATGTTCGATAATAATGTGTCTCTTTGAATTTTTGGTCATATTTTATTTGCAACTCTCGTTCGAGTTGGAACAAATAAAGTGTTTCGTGTTCGTAACCATCTCCCTTCTGCTACCCATTTCCTTCAGTTTCGCTTATCAACGAGACAACATTTCACGCTTTTACTCGAACGAGACGTAACCTCGTTCTTTCGACAACGTTTGACAATGTTCGCGTGTATACGCGAAAAATTTCTGTTAGAACGGAGAACGAGCAAGCTCGTGACAAGTGGAACGTGCCGCGAGGAGAAAACCTCGGAAATTTAGAAATTTCTTTGCATCAGAAATATGTCGTCGGCGACATTAACACGTTCTGTGTCGTAGGTCGATTTTTGGATACTTCTCGAAATCGTTTATTACGAGGTACTTCGTCATTTTTAAAAGTTTTATAGTGCGAAAACCACAATTATCAAGAGTGGTGTATAGAGTTCAACAGATGCAGAACAGAACGATAAATTTAACTTTAATAATATTATTATCATCTGAACAAGCAATTTTTTGATGATGTCAAAATTAATTTAAAATGAAACATTTCGTTACAAATTATTTTTAATATTATTGTCTGTGTTTTAAATAATGATAAATAATGTTAAATTTGTTATAATACTATACTCATAATGTTGTTATATAAATTATAAAATATTATACAATGTGTTATATAATACTATACTCATAATAGTTGTTATATAAATTATACAATATTATACAATGATACTAAATACTAACGAATAATATTTACTTTAAATGTTATTTTGATAAATTTTACAACGCCTTCTTACCGAACTGAGTTACGACACGATAAACGCGACACACACGACTTTATAATAAATTTTTAAAACCATGTCCACAACCTTTCACCTCTCTCCTCCAAACTTTTCTTCCTTCCCAAGAAGAGTTAACCTCTCCGGGCACGTTTCGACTTTGGATTTCGATCTCCAAGTGAAATTCCATTTCACGGGCACGAGACACGCCGGCAAGCAAGCGCAGTCTAGTCTCTCTCCTTCCGTGGACTCGTAATGAAGTTAGTCGACTCCACGATTTCTCGGCCAAATTGCGAGGACCTGTCTTTGTTTAGCCAGGGATTCCTGATTCCCTGCCGCGCAGCCGGAAATGAAGCTCGATCTCCGAGCCCCGAGTTGGATTACGGCTCAGCGTCGAAATCGAGAATTAACTGTACGTTTTATATCGTACGGTGCTTTCGTTTCGTTTCGTTTCGTTTCGTTTTAACGCCACCGTCCCCGTTTTCACGTCGAAGCATTAGGAGTAGCGAAAGAGAGAGAGAAAGATAGATAAAGAAAAGACAGAAAAAGGAAGATGAAAAAAAGATGAGAAGAAGAAGAAAAAAGCTACGGAGGGGCCGCAGATTGATTAAAGTAGCAGCGTGTCGCCATTTTATTCCTGATCCATTAGTATTTCGGATCTGTGGCGCGCGGATCGACGTGCAAAATTTCAATTTCCGGTAACAAACGAAGCGCGCACGCAGCCGCGGTGGATGAAAACGAAGCGCATATTGTCGATGATGCGTCAAAAAGCCTGTGTGCATTTCCCGCGCTGTATTAATCGTCGAAAAAATCCAGAGGAGCTACAGATACGTGCGTGCGTGTGTGTGTGTGTGTGTGTGTGTGTGTGTGTGTGTGTGTGTGTGTGTGTATACATGTAAGCGCGTTGGCCGCGGCGGAATCGAACTGCATGATACTGATTGACAGGCAAACCGTGCCGCGAGGTGTATCTCTTGGATCGCAAGAGATCCTACGGTACCTACGGTAACACTTGACCCATTTGCGCTGGCAAACTGATTCGCGGACCATAACGAGTGACCAAACTGTATACAACAAATCGTGGCTTTCGGCGGATCGGGTGAGAATTAATTCAAACCGAGTTGTTCTCGGATTCTCCCTTTTACACGCAAGCACGTTTAACGTCCGCTGAAAAATACAACAGCGGCTGGTATAATCCACGGCAATTTCCACGGGCGCAAAACGTTTTTATCGGGGAAACCGGCGGACGATGATCGTCCGCAAAACGAAATTTTCACCGGCGGTCACAAAATTTCGCGAAATATCAACCCACTTTCGCGCGTCCGTATTTTAATATCGAGGCAATCGAGGACGAGCTTCATTAAGCGAATATGATTATTCAGTGTCGGAGGTTTATGGTACCAGAGAATTGCATTGTACGTTTCGCTCTCGTTGTTCTCGTTGCGCTGAAATTTTATTCGGATAACCGAGAGGGGATATATTATCTCTCTCTCTCTCCCCCTCTTTCTCTATCGTTCGTTTTAAACTGGAAATTGCGTCAACGATTTAACAGCGTACGTAAAACTCATTGTTACAAAACTCAAAGTGAAAATTCTCTTGGTAATATCCGAAAATTTCTACGGAGTTTCAGACGGCGTGGCAGATCACACGGATTTCAAAGTGAGCGTTTAACCACGTTGCGCTGGCAACTGATTGCGGACCATAACGAGTGACCAAACCGTATTACAATAATTCGTCGCTTTCTTTTTGACAATAACTCGTCGGTGTGATATCACTGAATAGAAATTATTGAGAAGCAATAAATTTATTATTTGCCTGTGTATCTGGTTATACTTAAATATATTTAAAACTGAGGAAATATTATACAATTTTGGGACAAAAAATTCTCGAAGTGCGTGGCACGTCATTCCAGCACAAGAAGTTAATCGTTTGCGCTGGAAATTGATTGCGGACCATAACGAATGACCAAACTATATAAAATAATTCGTCGCTTTCTTTTTGAACTCGTCGGTATGATATCACTGGATAGAAATTATTGAGAAGTAATAAATTTATTATTTGTTTTGCCTATTTTGTTTTACTTAAATATACTTAAACTAAAATTATACGAAAAACTGAGAAAATATTACAATTTTGGGACAAAAAATTCTCGACGTGTGTGGTAGAGGTTAACCACTTGCGCTGGCAACTGATTGCGGACCGTAAGGAGTGACCAAAACGTACACAATAATTCGTTGCTTTCTGTTTGAACTCGTCGGTATGATATCACTGTATAGAAATTATTGAGAAGTAATAAATTTATTATTTGTTCTGCCTGTGTATCTGGTTATACTTAAATATATTTAAAACTGAAGAAATATTACAATTTTGGGACAAGAAATTCTCGACGTGCGTGGTAAAGGTTAACTACTTGCGCTGACAATTGATTGCGGACCATAACGAGTGACCAAACCGTACACAATAATTCGTCGCTTTGTTTTTGACAATAATTCATCGGTGTGATATCACTGGATAGAAATTATTGAGAAGTAATAAATTTATTATTTGTTTTGCCTATTTTGTTTTACTTAAATATATTTAAAACTGAGAAAACATTACAATTTTGGAGCAAAATATTCTCGACGTGCGTGGCACGTCATTACAGCGCAAGAGGTTAAGGTTGCAGCCTTGACTTTCTCGCGGGCACCGTGTATTTTAAAACACGGAACATCAATCAAAAGGGGGAGGGGGAGGGGGAGGGGAGGGGGGGCGCTCTATTCATTCAAATACAGAACGCGTAGGAATTTATTTGAGCGGCTATTGATTATGCATGATATCGA